GATGGATGGATGGATGGATGGATGGATGGATGGATGGATGGATGGATGGATGGATGGATGGATGGATGGATGGATGGATGGATGGATGGATGGATGGATGGATGGATGGATGGATGGATGGATGGATGGATGGATGGATGGATGGATGGATGGATGGATGGATGGATGGATGGATGGATGGATGGATGGATGGATGGATGGATGGATGGATGGATGGATGGATGGATGGATGGATGGATGGATGGATGGATGGATGGATGGATGGATGGATGGATGGATGGATGGATGGATGGATGGATGGATGGATGGATGGATGGATGGATGGATGGATGGATGGATGGATGGATGGATGGATGGATGGATGGATGGATGGATGGATGGATGGATGGATGGATGGATGGATGGATGGATGGATGGATGGATGGATGGATGGATGGATGGATGGATGGATGGATGGATGGATGGATGGATGGATGGATGGATGGATGGATGGATGGATGGATGGATGGATGGATGGATGGATGGATGGATGGATGGATGGATGGATGGATGGATGGATGGATGGATGGATGGATGGATGGATGGATGGATGGATGGATGGATGGATGGATGGATGGATGGATGGATGGATGGATGGATGGATGGATGGATGGATGGATGGATGGATGGATGGATGGATGGATGGATGGATGGATGGATGGATGGATGGATGGATGGATGGATGGATGGATGGATGGATGGATGGATGGATGGATGGATGGATGGATGGATGGATGGATGGATGGATGGATGGATGGATGGATGGATGGATGGATGGATGGATGGATGGATGGATGGATGGATGGATGGATGGATGGATGGATGGATGGATGGATGGATGGATGGATGGATGGATGGATGGATGGATGGATGGATGGATGGATGGATGGATGGATGGATGGATGGATGGATGGATGGATGGATGGATGGATGGATGGATGGATGGATGGATGGATGGATGGATGGATGGATGGATGGATGGATGGATGGATGGATGGATGGATGGATGGATGGATGGATGGATGGATGGATGGATGGATGGATGGATGGATGGATGGATGGATGGATGGATGGATGGATGGATGGATGGATGGATGGATGG